CCCGAACAGCTGAGATGTCACTGTGCTACCTTGTGGCCACGTCTGGGAATTGCACCCTCCCTGGAGAAGCCCCGCTGGCGCCCCCGTCCTCAGGTGCCTGCTCCAAGCGGGGTGTCTGGGTCCCAGGCGTCCCCCTAACCGCGGCTCCCTGGTCCCTGCAGGATGGTGAGGCTCTGCCCTCGTTCTGGGTCTCACAGTGGGGCTGCGGTCCAGACCAGTTGACAGGGGGCTGGAGCTGGCCAGCTCTTTTCCCTGGTGGGCTGGACCCCAGTTCCCGGCAGGGAGGGCCCCACTCCAAGATGCCCATCCTCCTTGGGCCCAGCGCGCAGCCACCTTCCAGGCCGTGAATATCGCGCTGTGCCCTCGGCTCTACGTGGACCCCATGGCTGTCGGGGATACCCAGGCTGAGGGTAGGTGGTCATGTCCCCTTGGATGATGTCATTGGGACCTCTCAATCCTGTCTCGGGGACCGGCCTCTCTCTCTTGCTCTCTCCCTGCTGTGTGCCCTCGCAGCGCTTTGGCAGCTGGTGCGAAAGTAGGCCAGGGAGAAGGCACAGTGGCAATCCTGGGTGGCTTTTGGCTGGGCACTCACTGGGTGATGCATGTTTTCAGGTCAGCTTACAGGCCCTGTGCCTTCCACCGTGGGCCCTGCAGTTTCTGTAAAATGGACCATTTACCATGCCCGGAATAGAAGCACGTGGGTTCAGGACCGGGGGCCTTGTGAAAGGCGAGCAGGGTGGCAGGCAGGCTGCTGCCACACTCTCACCTCAGGGGGACCTCTCCTCTCCAGGGGTGAGTCCCCCTTAGCCCCCGCCAGGATGGAAGGGGGCCCTTGCAGAGGAAAGGGAGGATTTCCCTAGCATGCTGGGGGCTGGCTCTCTGCTGATTCCGGGTCAGTGTACACTCTCCGGTGAATGAGTGTCTTCTCTGGATGCCACCTCAAATATTAGTCACCAGTGAGATTCCCTGCAATTTCGGAGGCCTGTCAGCGTCTGCAGGCCGTCCTGAGGCAGTCATGCGGACCCTGGGGGGGGGTGGGTGGAGGGGGCAGGTCCGAAGGGACAGTGGAAGATCTCTTTCCCAGTGGCCCTCTGGGGACGACAAATCCAGGACCGATCTAATGCAGCGGAGCAGGGCATTTTATTTTATTTTTCTTACACATTTAACTACTTTTTAAAAGTAGGTGATTTAGTCCTGTTTTTCCCCCTACCTTACTGCATATAAAATCTCCTTATTCTTATTTTTAAAAGCTCCAAGACCAGTTGTTATTGAAGTTTTTCGGAGGTCACAGATCCCTTTGGTAATTTGCCAAAAGTTATGACCTCTGTCCCCAACTCAAAACGCACATATACACAGCCTTAGGTGCCATCTCAGGAAGCTTAGAGACTCTCTGAAACCCATCTCAGAGCCAGGTTAAGGTCCCTGGCGCTAAACTATGTGTGTCTAAGGGACAGCAATAAGCCTTTTATTTCTGAACCTCATCATTATCACCCTCAAAAGTTTCTGGAGCTTTTAATAGTCGGTATTCAAAATAAAGCTTGTTTAATGAAGGACTTAGCAATAGCTGAACTGCACATCCCTGACAGTTTATTGTTGGGCACTGGAGTTTTTCCAGTTTGTTGGAGTTTTCAACTTTAAGATATTGAAATGCAGTAAAAATATTTTCTGTATGAACTCAAATTTTTATTTACCAAACAAAATGTTATACCTCACAGTTCACAATCTGTTATTATTACTTTAAATTTTAAACAGAAATAAAAACTCTATGGGGGTCATATAGGATGACAGAATTGAAGTAATTCAAGTTGTGTTTTTTTTTTTGTCTTTACAATGACTACATTATCACTTTTTAAAATGTATTTATTTTTATTTATTTTGTTTTATTGCTTATTTTTTCCTTGCCCCACCTCACCATTATTACTTTTTATTTGGAATCTATTGTCTAAATGCAGGAACAGGCAGCAAGGACCGTGGGCCTTGGAGACGTGAGATGCGGAAGGATTCCGAACCACTGACACTCGCTTTTGCAACAAGCACACGTCACTGAGCCCGTGAGTGTCAGGGCCAAGTGCATAACTGGGAGTTCTTGGAATTAACGTCGATGCAGAACCGAATGAACATAATATTTATTAAAGGGTAAGTAACAAAATTATGACAATTTGAAGTTCACATACATATTACATAAAACTCAACAGTAATCAAATATGGTGTTTAGAACTTCCACCGAGAGATCATTTTTTTTTCTGGGGCCGGGGGCGGGATGGGGTGGGGACTTTGTTTTTATCACTGACAGAATTGTGATAAAGAAAGGCAGACCAACTTTTGGTTCTGTTATTGTATTTAAATTATCTCCTGACAATGGTTCTCTTACTGCTGGCTTCCAGGGCAGCCAGGTGCCACCTCCCTACCCCTGGTCCATCCCTGATGTGACAGTAAGTTCCTGCAGGGCAGGGACAGGTGGCGCAACCCACTGTCGTGCAGTGCCTATGCACACATGCAGTGGTTCCCAGCATGCAGGTGGAGGCTCCATGGGAATTGCCAAGGATGACCTGCCTTTTCTCATAAGGGAGACCAGATTTTCTTCATGTACTTCAAACAAAGCAATGTATCACAACAGATTAAACACAGAAACAGATAAGAGGATCCAGCTGTCTTCTGCTGAGCCAGACATTAAAGAGATTTGCAAAATTTCTTTGTAAAACAATGTCACTCTTATGCCTCACTTTAAAATTATTATTTGGAAAATGTAAGCTATTTTCCATAAAATTATGTTACATATGTTAACATGCAATGGGCTTATTATTGTTATTTTTAAAAGCACTAAGAAATATTCTTAAGATTTCTCGGTTTTAATTTTGAATATGGTAAATATTGACAGCTGTATCTTGCATACAGAGAAGCTCTTTGGAGCCCTCAATAATTTTTAAGAGAGGAGAGGTGTCTAGAGACCAGAATGTTTGAGTCGCGCTGCCTTATATGTGCCAGATGCCCGTGTACGCTTATTACACTGATGAGGGACTGAATGGATGGGCTTCAGCTGCTCCTGGGAGTTGGCAGCTGTGGCTGGGATGGAAGGGAGCAGAGGGCACAGTAGGCAGTGGGGCCGATACCCGAGCGGGGGGCCTGCCAGGGTCTAGGAGTGGCAGCTGGGTCTGGTGGAGCAGTGCTGGCTCCGATGGCAACATCCCTCGGGGGGCCTGGGTCTCAGGCAGTGGGGGCTGGGAATAGGGGTGACGGTACCTACGTGTCAAGGGGCTTCAAGAAGCTCACTATATCTTGTCCCCCTTAGTGCTGAAGGTCAGGAACAACTGTCTGAGTCTGCCTGTCTGTGACAGGAACTGAGCAAAATGATTTTCCAGGGACCTGGTTGTCACATCACTGGGTGTGGGCACAGCAGAGAGGGCTGTGGCCTCAGTGGACAGACTGAGGCTCCAGGTACCTCTCCCTGCTCTGCCCTGACCGGCCGTGAGACCTGCCGCAAGTCACTTAACTGCTGGCTTGCTCGACCACATGGCAAAGATGAGATCAAATGTTCGCGGAGTGCCTGGCACATCCTGGGTGCACAGTGCATTAGTGACTCCATTAGCAGAATGTCATTAATAATACATACTCAAAAGAAGTAGGCCGGGAGGGGTGAGGTTAAGGAGGAAGGGTCCTTGAGGGAGTTCTTCCTGGTCCTTGACTAGTGACGGTTGAAGGTTGGCATACACCGTGGTTTCTCAGCCTCTGCACTATTGATATTTAGGGCCAGATAATTCACTGGTGTGGGGGCTGTCCTGTACATCATAGCACACTTAGCAGCATCCCTGGCCGCTAACCACTAGATGCCAGAAGGGAAGCACTTTCTCCCTGGTCGTGACAACCAAAACTGTCTCCAGAATACATTGCCAAAAGTCCCCCCAAAGACAAAATAATAAATTCTAGGCCAAAGGGCACCCTTTAGCAAAATCACTGTGAACCCAGGGAATAAAGATCTTCAGCAATTTTGCCTATATGGCAAATAAAATGCCTATATTGGCACATAAAATGCTCAGTAGATGGTAATAATTAATATTACTGATAAGTTATTAACTGACCTATGATATAAAATAATAATCAAATATAAAGGAGCAGCCCTTTTTCTTAAGGGGGAAAAAGATTTCTGGGATTTTCAGGTACATTCCTGTTAGCAAATTCCTGATTCTCAAAGTTTTGACAGTCCCTCCAAGCATCGACTTTGGCCAAAGAAAAGTCTAAGTCTCTACTTTAGCCTTACTAGCTCCTGACCAGTAAGCAGCACAAAAGCAAAGTCCCAAACACTGGTCTAGCTTGGCCAAATTGTTCAGTTATCTTCATATCCGTTACTTATTGGTCGAAGGCACTGTTTAGCCAGGAACCTGGACACCACCTACCTGACCCAGCATTTGGATCTGCCATTGGCCATCAATCTCATCTGCAAATTTACAAACAAAACAGGCGGACTGCTGTGGAATTCTTTGGTCTCAAACTAAAACTTTGGCAGAAAATAATGTTTAGAAAACATGCAACGATGTTTCTACTTTAGACGTGACTGATAACAGAACTCTCATAAATTTCTCTCTCCTCCGAGAGAGCCAGGCAATTAGACAGCCTCAACGAGACAGAGCATTTCATTGCGAGCCGCGCTACCCAACTGCAAATTCGATGCCAAACTAACTCTCAGGAAGATCTGAAATTCTTTCAGACCGTTCTCCATTGAAGAAGTCTTAGTATGACTGTTTCCATATCAGATATAAGACAGACTTCGCTGCTAGCTGCAGGCGCTCTTAGGAGACTTCTACTCCCAGGGTGATTTTCTAAATTTCAGTCCTGTTTACAAAGTGCTGCATGTCCCTGTGAACCTGTGATGCCACCAATAGAACCACCTGGTATGCTCTGAAGCAAGCTCTGTCCCACACAGTCAGAAACGCTTGAATTCTTTGTGATACACATTTTAAAAAGAAAAATCCATGCCCATCTCTGGAGAAAAGACGGGCTCTTACCTGGTCCCAGGCTTTGTCCATGGGCACTTGATTGGATAAAGATGCACAAGACCAAGAAAATGGGGACACACAGGGCACTTTCCATTTCTCCTGTCTCCCCTGGGGTCCGAGGTCTTCTTGCTAATTTCTGAAGCTAAAGAGACCAGAATGCCTATTGATACTTTGTTAGGGAAGGCTGCCCATTAATAATTAACCTTTCAACATGTTATCGAAGGTTCAGACACTTTCCTTGCTGCCCCCAACCCCAAATCTAACTCTATCTAATTAACAACAAAAAAAGATTGGTTTACGAAAGTGCTTTTTACAAAAGTAAATTTTGCAAAAGTAAATTTTGATTTACAAAAGTACATGTTGAAAACGAAATACCTTGTCATATATTTATAGCTTCTGGGGCTAATGTCACCGTTCCAGATTAAACAATTCGAAGCTAATGTGTTGTGTTTGGAAATCCTGTCAAAGGTCAGGGGTAGCAGCCTCCACGTAGTTGCCTAAGTGTCCCTGTGGCAGCACCGCAGAGGGGACGCAGGTGCACGGAAGTGAGATTTCAAATGGCAGGCTAAGCCCCTAGAAAAAGAAAAGGGCCCTGCCACGCTGAAAGCCCCCAGACGGTCCATTTTCTGTTGAGTTCAGCGAAATCGCTGATGCTTGTGGTCAAAGTGTGGTGGGGCAACATTTCTACAGCTGAACTGGGAAAACCCTTAACCTCAGTGGAAAAAGGAGCCCACAGAGAAGCAAAGATACCCTTGCTGAGGGCCCCACCGGGAGATGATCCTGGAGGGAACACACTCATTCTTCCTCCGTGCTAGTTAACGCTCCGGCTGAGGAGAGGACTGAGAAGAAAGACCACGCAGCTGAACCAGGTGGGGGAAACACTACCGTATATGACTCTTGTAATAGTTACTGGGTCTCTAGTTTTATTTAAGCTTTATTCATTTGCTCATATTTTCTTTGCATGCCTACGTGCCATGCACTGTTCCAGGCATGTGGGATATACCAGTGAAGGACCCCCAAATTCCAGTCCTTGTGGAGCTTATGTACCAGTGGGGGTGGGAGGCGGCAGGTGACAGACAACAGACACAATACAGAAGTGATTTATGTAGGTTGCTAGAATGCAATGAGAGCTATGGAAAACGAAAGGGTATAGCAGGGCCAAGGGGGTGGGGGAGAAGGTAGTAACTCTAAACAGAGCGGTCGGAGTGAATTGTGTCGGGAAGTTAAACCCTGAGCTGAGGTTTGAGGGAGGTGAGGGAGTTGCCCCTGCCGACGCTTTAGGCAGGAGAGCTTCAGGCAGTCCGTGGAAAGGCCCCGAGGTAGGAACCTTCCTGGTATGTTCCAGAAATACTGAGGAGGCCAGTGCATAGGACACACCGTTATAAGGACTTTGGCTTTTACGCCGTGAGACCTGGGGAGCTGTTCTGAGCAGGAGAGTGACGTGATTTGTATTACAGTTTTGAAAGATCACTCTGGTTTGCGAGTGAGCTGGGGCGAGGCGGGGAGCTCTGCTGGGAGGCTGTCGCAGTGGCCCCGTGAGAGGTGCTGGTGACTTGGTCCAGCGTGACCACAGTGGACTTGGCGAGTGGTGGATGGGTGCTGGATACACTTGGAAGGCAGAAGGATTTTCTGACTGCTGGCATGTGAGATATGGGAGCAAGAGAGGAGCTGAGGAGGACTTCGAGGTTTTTGGCTTGAGCAAGTGGATGAATGGGGTTGTACCCGCCGAGAAGGGAAAGCTGTGCATGAGGCAGGCTTGGTGGGGGAAGACTGGAATTCAGCTCTGGCCACGTGGTGTACGAGCAGCTCTTAGACATCTGGGTGGCAGTGTTGAGTGGGCAGCTAGATAACTTGGTGATTACTGCCCTGATGAGCCTGACTGAAAAGACCTTCTGAAGCCATCAGCAGATTTGGACGGTCTTGACCCCAGCCTGGAGCATCCGTTCTGACCTATGGCTGCACCTTCCTGCCAAAGGCTGCAACTTGGGGACCATCCAGGCAGGTGCATGATCTCTGAGCAAGGGCTTCTGTCCTGGGCACCTGGCTGGCTCTTTCCTACCCTGCACAGTTAAGCAGGATCTGAAAGTTCTACTTCTTTTTACCTATAAAGCGGAACTCAAAACCAGCTGGCTATCTACTTTGAGCTCCTCTCTCCTGGGCCTGCCCTTATCTTTCTCCTCTGGGTACTGCTAATAACACCCCCAGGCCCTACTTCATTCTGCAAATTAATTCACCAAGATACCAGTGAATCCAAGTGCTCGGAAATACTAACCCGCCCCCCAAAAATTTCTGTAGATTATATTTTCTTACCACTTTCTACATGGGAAGAGGCCTTCAAAGTTGTTCTAGTTCTTATAATTACTTTACTTGCACCACCAAAAATTCCTCTACCACCATCTCATGCCAACTCAAGTTCTGCGAGGCTCTCCTGAAAAATGACAAGGAGGAATGGATGTCTGTCCCCTTGCAGGGGTGGTGTCTGCCTTAACCTCTGCCCAAGCTCTCCTGCTGCTCCATCAGTGGGTTCCACCTTCCCGTGGTGGTTTTAACACACAAGCTCTGCTGTGTTTCCTTGAAGCTGGCTAGGGAGGCCCCTGGGAGAGAAGGGAGGACTTCATAAAGTGTGAGGTTTCCAGAGCCCAGGCATCCTGGTCCTCCTGTCCACTAGCTGTGCACAATGTTCCGTAATCTCGGTGAGTTCCATCTCCTCACCTAGAAAACGGGGATAGCATGTGCTGAGATAATATTTTGAGATACCAACTTCTTATTTTTCTCCCAACCTGTCTCCCTTGCTCTCCCTTCCACTTAAGAGGGGCAACGTTGAGAGACCTCTGCACATCTTTTGTCTTCCAAAAACATAGGACCTAGGGCAAGTGAATTCTAACCAGCAAAGAAAAGCAAAAGATTAAAATGTTTTAAAGGGAGAAGGACTCCCTCCTTCCCACCTTCCCACCACTGGAAAGACAGTCTCTTGGGCTTTGCAGGCAGTGGGGGATGGGGAGATTTATCCATGGGTCTGAGAGCAGAGGGGACGGTCCCCTGCTTCCCAGAAACCCTGCTGGAAAGTAAGAGCCCAGAGAGAAAATGGCTGTGTGTGTGCTGGCAGATGGGCAAGACAGGCCCTTGGCCTGGTGTGGGGGCAGCGGGTCATGTCAATGGGAGGATGGGCCTCCCAGTGGCCCCCTATGTGGACTGATGACAGAGGACTATGTCACACCCCTCCTACAAGCCCATGCCTGGCTTTTTTTGTCTGGTGCAGAACTACAACATTACTAGAGGTTGGAGGGGTTAGGGAGAAGGAATCCAGAAGGTCTGGAAGTAGGGGTTTGGAATCAGTAATTCAGACTGGTTATAGAAATTAAAGATATATATATTTTTTTGAGACAGAATCTCATTCTGTTGTCTGGGCTAGAGTGCCATGGCATCAGCTTAGCTCACAACAACCTCAAACTCCTGGGCTCAAGCAATCCTCCTGTCTCAGCCTCCCGAGTAGCTGGGACTGTAGGTGAACACCGCCACACCCAGCTAACTTTTTCTATTTTTAGTAGAGATGGGGTCTCGCTCTTGCTCAGGCTGGTCTCAAACTCCTGACCTCAAGCAATCCTCCCACCTTGGCCTCCCAGAGTACTAGGATTACAGGCGTGAGCCACCGCACCCAGCCAAGATATTTCTTGAATATCAGAATTTGTAGACTGAAATTAACACCTCTACAAACACAGGGATGTCATGAGTATTAGAGATTTGTGTGTGAGGTGTCCAGCCACGCGCCTGCTTCACAGTAGAGGTTCAATAAGTTATAGTGACTTATTTTGTAGGCAGCATACTTGGTGGTCAAGTGTCCAGGCTTTGGAATCTGACAGATCTAGGTTCAAATCCCTGGTCTATCACTTATTAGCTGAGTGACCTTGGATCAGACATTAACGTTCTGAGCTTTAGTTTTCTTCATGTGTATAATGGGACGAATGATACCTACCTAATCTGATTAAGTGAGGCGAAGCATGTGAAGTCCTTAGCAATCCTACATAGTAGGAAATATTAAATGGTGGCTATTATTATTATTATTGTTTAAATTGAGGTAGGAGATTACGAGGGTCACCAGGAGGTAGACAACCGCAAGACCACAGTGATGTAATTTTAGCAAAAAATTAAAAGAGCAGGAAAACAGAAGGTTCTGGATCAGTGGTTCCAAAATCCAACTGAATTTCAGCATCAGAGTCAGCTGGGGAGCTCAGAAAAAGGGCAAGTTATGGGTTCACCCCAAGACTTATGGAATCAACGCTAGGGCTTAGAGAATCTCCATTTTAAACAGGCTTCTTGGTCACACACAGTCTGAGAAGCATTATTTGAGAGTGGTGCTTTAGAGACCTCATTGGGGTGCAAGAAGAAAACAATAAATCTTTCGGATTTTTCTTTATATTGCCTTTGAAAATTTTATGTTTGTGTGTGTGTAATGTGTATAATATATTAAGACTATACAATTTGTATATAGTACTATGTAATATATTAGTGCTACGCTATTTATAAGCAACTGAATGTCCACATATTTGGGAGAGTGCTCAAATTTTAATAAAACTTATAAAGATGCTCTATCGAAAAAGTGATAAGCCTCTGCCTTAGAGGGACACAATGGCCCCCCAGGGCTTCAAGGCCTGACTGTATGTGGTTGACTCCATCAATGCATCTGAACAGTCAATAGATCTGTTAATGGGACCTTTGGTCCTTTTCATGTCCAAGAAAGCCCAGCAGTTATTGAGGACTCTTCATTTCCCGTGAACTAAAGGGGTCGGGGGAAGCCTGAGCCTCTCAGCGGGAAGCCCCCAGCAGAGCTACGAGCACTGTCTGTGTTAGCAGAGCCCAGTGGCTTCTTCCTTTGCAATTCCTTCCTTCAAGACTTTTCTAATTTGGGTGACACTGTACTCTCTGGTCTGCAATCCTTGGCCTAAAGTAATAATGGTTTTATAATTAGATTTTTAAAAATTGCCCAGTTCCTGCTCTCTTTTAATTTGAAGAGCTTCTTGAAGAAATAGAGATTTCAGGAGACTGGCACTGGATGGCCTGAGTACAACCTTTTCCTTCAGTGTCATGGTGATAAGAAAGTTAATTAGGGGAAAAGAAACAGATATTTTACAGGGATAAAGAGAG